AAATGAATAAATAAATGAAACATGCATAAAAGGGACAAATGAATGTATGGAGCTCCTCCCTTTGTCTCGGTTGGAACCGTCGCTCGTGTCATGAGGCTCAAAGACAAAAAAAGAAAAAAAAAAGGAGTGTGTCTGACAGTTTGGAGGACGTGGCTCTCGCCCTGTCAGCACTTCCCTTCGTGGACGGGTAATTTCAGTAGATCTGCCTCACGTAGAACCGGCAGCCTGTCAGCCGATCTCCTTATCCATAATGGAAGAGTGGAGCCCCCAGAGCGATGGCTGCCAGCCCCCCTTCACCTCTTCAAAAGACACGCAAAGACGGCATTAATAAAAAATACCACCCCCTTGTGTCCCGTACTGTCCTATCACCAGCGGCCTGTTTATGCAGGTGTGTGATTAAAGAGGGAGTGACTGGATATCAAGCAGGCAGCCTGGGTCACATAACTTCTTTGAGAAGTTATGTATTATATGAGCCGCTCGGTGTTTTCTTTTAATCGTCGCGATCAACCACACACCAGTTAATGGTTCACAAAGTTCAAATACGGCATCCAAAAGAGCATGCAGTGCACCACCAAATAAATAATAACAATAATAATAATGATAAATGGAGACAGTGCCGCTCCCAGGCAAAGGAACTCTTAAAACAAGCAGATTGTGGCACGAGACAGCCACGCTAGTGTTCAAATCTTTACACGTCGTGTGAAAATAAACATTTGCGGCGAGGATTTAAGGAGGGAAAGCTGATTTACAAGCACATCTGCTTCCTCCGGCACGAGGATCAGGAAGGTTCGCCCTGTGTTTCACAGCTCCCACTGGCGCGCCGGCGCTCCGTGGAGCTGCAGCAAAATCCTCGCGCCTCAGCCACAAACGTGTTCCCATTCATTTGGCGTGAAGGCTTCACCGGGAGCCATCTCTGAGTTAGAGGCGCGAGTCGAGTCCGGCGACCTGAAACGACGTCATCAAGCGAGACGGATTCAGATTGAATTCCTGCCGAGCGGCACGCGCCATAGAAACGCAGCGGCGGCTCTGATTCTCGTCAGAACCGAACCGGAAGGAGGCAGAAGCATCGAGACGTTCAAGAATGAAGAGAGGAGCACGTCAAGTTGGCGCCGAGTCAGCAAAAAGTAAACAAATAAATAAATAAAGGGGGTTTGCTTAAAAGTCAAAATTAGAGCTCAACAGTATCCATACCACTGGGAGATTTAGATCTTCAATGATCAGTATCCCACCGAGAAGTTTGGATCTCACAGAGGATGAAACAGAAAACTAGAGGATTTACTTACTTACTAACATTTAATTCTAAAATGACAATTACTCGTACCATTATAATAATGTACAAAAATGAAAAACAATTGAAGAAAGATAGGTAGACAGCTAGCTAGATAGTGAGAGGGTCAGAAAGTTAGCTTGTGGGCTAGCTGGTTAGCTAGGTCATAGGTCAAGCTCATATGACCTGCTGCTGCCTCAGCTTTACACAGGGCAGAGTGTAAGGCTGATGACCCGTCTGACCACTGAAGACTCATCACCATCAGACTGGCCCTCGACCTCCAGTGATTCATTTTGTGCAAACCAGCTGAAGTCCAGAGAGTCTAAAGATAAAACTCCTGTATGATTCCAGGCTTCACTTCACTTTCCCCCAAAAGACTCGATTGGAACATTTTGCAGCAGGATTCGAAGCAGAATGCACAACCCGCAAACAGAGGCCTTAGCTCTCCACACGGCCGTCACGGGTTCGATTCCCGGCCTGATGACCTTTGCTGCAGGTCCCTCATTACCCACTTTCCCGTCCGACCACTCAACCAAACAAAGGCCGCCGGCGCCAGTAAAACCTTTAAAAAAAAACAGACTACGTCCAAAAGAACGTTACGGTCAAACAACCGGTTGCTCTCACATTTTAAAGCTGCTCATCAACTCCAGACTTCAAGGTCCTTCTATAGACCCGCCTGCTCTTCAGCTAAACGGAGCTCGACATGTTAACTGTTTCTACTTCTTATTGTTATTTTCTTTTGACACTGTTTTGTTTCTGTCGTGTCTGTTTGATCTTTTTTCCATCTTAACCAGAAGTCATGACGTGCTCTCTGCTTCACTACGGTGAAGCTTGTTTGCTGTAAAGTGTTATGTAAACAGCGTTGACATTGGCATAAAGTGGATCTACTTCATAAAGAGTATTGCAGCTAAAACCAGCTGGACCTTCTCCTCGATAAGCCTACGTGTGTGCTAACAGCTAGCAGCCGCTAACAAGCGATGCTTTGCTTCAGTGAAGGTCTGAATAGTTGCCTTGTGTCCTTATCCGACCGTTTTCCTGCTAGATTTCAAAGCGTCATTGTTACCGAGTCACTCATCCAAAGAAATATTAGAACAAAACGTTTTCCCAAGGGCAACTCAGCTGAAACCTTCAATCATGTTTAAGCTTTAATTTTTCATAATTGCATTTCATTTCCACAAAAGAATGACACTAAAAGCACCACTGTCGTACTTTTACGTCTATTTTTCTTGTCATGAGATTGTGTCAACGTCCCAATGAAGAAAATGTATCCATCATTTTAAAACCGAAAATAATAAATAAATAAAAAAAAAAAACCCGGTCGACTTAAAAACGACAAACTTTTCAGTAAATCGAACCGATCACTCAAATCAATTATGGTTGCCGCTTGCACCGATACCTCAACAGAATTACTACATATAACTTCATTCCTTACTGAAATCGATACGGGCACATTCCATTATGTAATTAATGAGTTTGCATAGCATACAATCAAAATACTCATTCAGATAGAGTTCCATCTTCAGCATGCTTTCATGTCTCAATGCGCCCTTTCACCAACGCTGCGCCACCACTGTTTAAAACAGCTGCTTTATGAACACATGAGTTCTTCTCCTGCTGCCTCCTGAAGGTACGGTTGCAACACAACCGCATGTTCAGAACGGAAGCCGACAACAGGAAATGTTTTGTGTAGGTTTCCTTTTCCTTTTGTCAAGCAGGATCCCTGTTGAATTCGTCATCACGCTCTCATTTTGTTAATTCTCCAAAAACCCTCCCTTGCCTCCGAGTCGCTAGCGTTCCCCTCTGCAGAAACCTGACGCGTTGATCTCATGCTACCCGACAGTCGAAGACGGCAGAGCCATTCATCTCGCTTTTTTGATCCCGCTGCTCAGGGACTTCAAAGCCCAGAGGTCAGCTGACTCACCGTACAAGAAACTCCCAGCTACACGGGGAAGCAAAAACAAAACAAAACCCAAAAACACCCCGTTGACAAACTGAAGGATGACTCTGGAGTAGCTATGAGAAAAGAAACCAAACAAAATAAAACTGTAGTTTCATGATCTTTTACGTGCTTTGGACAATGAAACCACCGGGGCAGATGGCCCGTTCTCGCTCCTGTCAATTAAGATTCGGACAAAAAAAACTCCACCGCTTGTTTCTTTCACTTGCACGTGCAAGCTGTCCGAGTTTTAAAGTCGCATTATTCATACGCCGCAACAATTAAAACGTCAACACGGAGAGGAGGGGGAAAAAATATGTACATTATTCATAACTGTCCTCCAGGGAGACTGGCACTCAGAGCTAATGAGAGGAGGAAGCTTTGAAGTCATGGAGTCGTCGGCGAGGTGAGCGGCATGAATTAAGCCCCGCCGTCAGACTTTTTGCTGTGTGTGGAAGCCTTTCAGACAGTCCACCCGAACCGGTGTGCCGAATCTCTAACTCGGATGTTTAACCCAATTTACTCAGAGAGTCAAATGCCATGAAAGCTGCAGTATGTAACAAACAAAATATGTAGATATCTGCTGAAACTGTCACTATGCTGTGACACTGGATGGACAATCTGAGAAAAATCGAGCTCGTCTGCCTTCCCCCAGTGATGACTAGAAACAACCAATCAGAGTTAGGGGGCGGGTCTCGGTGCTGCTAATCATGTGCTTCATCCGTCACTTGCTCTCTGCTACAATATCGCCATTAGCCCATTTGGCACCACATTCATGTGGTTGACTGACAACGCCAAGGCACTCCTCTTGACTCCGATTGGTTGTTTGTGACTGTGAGCCTCTGAATGCTAAGGCTGCTAACGTCTGGGGCGAAGTTAGCATTGGTGGACGGCGGATGAGCTGTTTTTCCTTAAATAGTCCGTTGTTTCTCTGTCATTAGAACATATATAAGGATTAGAACCCTCATAAGTATGACTGACAGCGCTAAGCTCCTCCTCCTGGCTCTGATTGGTTGCTCTGGTCTGGAGCGGTGCGTTCCATTGGGCAGCAATAGGGAGGAGGGGGACGAGCTTGAATTTTTCACAGATTGTTTGTCTCATATTATACTATGTAAAAACATAAATGAATAAATAAATGAAAAGTTACACACTGCAGCTTTAAATTACTTCTTCTTTTCCCCACTATTATTTCTTTGAGAAAAAAAAAACAGAGGTCTCTTCTTGGTGTCGAAGAAATCCCAAGAACTTGTGGAGAGCAGCCGGAGAACGAAACAGACATTAATACTCCATGAGGATATGTGTACGAAGACAAGATATACTTGTTGTCAAGTGGAGCAGAATGAATGAAATATGCTATCTGCCGCCCGACAGCGAGGAGAGGTGAGAAGTGTGCTGGCGAGGAGCAGCTTGGCGAAACAGAGGAAGCTCCGCCAGCGAGACCTGACCCCCTTTCCTGTCGCTGCCGGTGTCTACCCTGCTACCCTGTGCCACGCTGATACCGTATCTGTCCAAACAGATGTCCGCTCCAGCCTGTTAGCATCCCCCTTCCCTGCTTCCCTACGTTCGCTTTAGCCGCCTGCTGATGTTTTGCCCGTCATGGTGCTCTGTCGCGCCCTTGTCTCCGTAAAGCAGGCGACAGGGCAGCGATAACAACAACCCCGGCTGCATAGGGGAAGCTGTATGCGCGTGCAAAAAAGACAACAACAAAAAAACAGCAACAAAAAACAAGGTGTCCGTGAGGTGACACATGACAGGGATGACTAGCGAGGGCAAAGGCGGTGAAAGAGTTTGGCCTACCTCCACAACGAACTCTCCAACACCTTGGTTGAGTCGGCGTGGTAATACTTGGTCAGGATCAGGATGACCTGCAGGAAAACAAGGAGAGGAAAAAGATTTAGAAGAAGTTGACAAAGAGCAGTAGGGAGTCAAAGGCACAGATTTAAGAGGTAAACTCTAAATTTAGAGTTTCAGTCATTAGAAGCATCACTGATTTCCTTTGAGGTAATAAGATAATTACTCGGGACGAACCCATCCACGCTTTATATAAACCATAGTATCGGCCAAAACCGATATATTGGTATGATTCACCAACCTACAAAGGATGAGACAAAGCTCTTTTTGAAATTTTTCTTAGAGCTTCTGTTCTTGACAGCAAAGGTCTGCTGGGGTTTGCGATGCAACGGCCAGACGGTCAACCGGTCAGGCAACGCGGCGTTGCTCAGAAGTGTGATTGACGGGCTGCTGGGGCGTTCTAGGTAGAGGGGCAGACAGAGATCCCCCGGACTAGCCCCCAGGCTAGAGGGGGATCTCCCCCCCAACACAGGCTGTTTTATCTATCTCAGATACTCCTAATTCATCTCAATGTAAGCAGCAAACTCACCATAACATCGCTGAACAGTCTACAGGCTCCGCACACTTATGATTTGTAACGTGTGACGACTGTGGTTGACCAAAGTATCAGATTCAGGATTTGCGTGGGGCTGGGTGAAAGTCAGGAAAGAAAATATGGCGGGAAGTAAACGTATGCTTGAAATCCGTTTGAGAAATGATAATATGTGGTGTTTCTCAAATGACTATCAAAGTTACGGCTTCAGGCGGAAATATTTTCTAGGGAATGTTTTAATTCTTGTCGGGTAATTTGCATGAACTACAGCTAAGAGCTGCAGTGTTGCCTCCAACATAAGCAAAGTCTCACCGCCTCCAGCATTCAGTCTGCAGCAAATATTTTAAATCAAAACAAGAGCAAGTTTTTCAATGTTACAGCAGAGAAAAAAAGGGGGAATTCTTGATGGTCATGAAAATATCTCCCTCTTTCACTCACTGTTTATTTTCTAATCTAATAAAGACATCCTCCATTTCTTTCTTTCTTTCTTTATTTTTTGCAATGTAGCATGGGTTAGCAGGTAGGCTCCCTTCATTGAAGAAAACATTTTAAACAATATGTATGATCTATATCCCTATAGCATATCCTTTTCATTGTATTAATTTAATTCATTTAATTGACCTTTTAAATGCAGGTTTTAACATTTGAGGTTTTTATGGGAGGTTTTTTGCATGTCATCTTAAAATTTGGACATTTTTTTGGTGTATTACTCAGAATTCCTTTTACTGTCATCATGCAAGAAAGCGCTACAAAATCTGAAATGATTCTCCACGCGTTGAAGTGGCCGATTCATTATTAAGGTTATTTAAAGTTCACGAAAGATATACAAGCAGAAAACAAAAATGTACAATTTTGAAGGGGGGTTTCAAGACCAAGGAATGAAAATAGCCAAATAAAAATGTGATTTTTATGGTAGCATATTATAAAAAAAAATAAAAAAAAACGCATTCAGAATTGACGTGGACGGCACAGAAAATGCGGATCGTCAAGGCAAATAGAAACGTAAACTCAGCATTGACATGTAAAAGTAAAAACAAACAAAAGGCAATAAAAAAAGATCAATCGACCTGATAGGAGGATTAGATCTGCCTTGTGCACCATCAGTGGCCAACTCTCCACTCCCTTCATCCAGCCCCTCGCCGCAAGAAACCACTAAATCTTACCAAGTGGTTTTGCTCTAGTTTCAAGTATTACACATGGAATAAGACAAAAGTGCCTCTTCAGCAAGATAAACTGGCTTGTTTTAATATTAATACCTTAATATAGATGTAAAAACTACAAGTCCCACTGGCAGATATTTTTCTCATGTTGGAAGTGAAATAATCTGTGGTAACAGTACTTTTTTCATTTTAATAGAGTGAAGGGCGAGTCATGATTCCACTACAGCAATATTTCCACTGACCTCCGTTGAGCCACAAATCGGCGACAAAGAGAAGTAACATTTGGTTCACATGAAGAATAAAGTCACACTGGGAGAAAAAAAGAAACAAAAACAGCTGAGCATCACATCAGCCAGATTCCTGTATCGCTGCTCTATTGTACATAACACTCTGCACCAACGGTACAACTTGGCAGCTGCCGGCTGCAGCTCATTGGCCTAAAGGGCAAATTTGGCAGAGGGTGAGGAACCCCTTCTAATGCCGGAGAATACGCTTCTCTGCCAGCCCGTCATTTGTGATTCAATACCAACAAATCACAGTGGCATACTTTGAGTGAACAAGCATCGGAAAACATGTCACGCCAAAGCGATCAAAGTCTGGGAGCTCATTACTCTTCGTGAGCAGTGACAAAAAGAAGAAGAAGAAAGAAGCCCCTTCGCGCTCTCCTCATTTAGATAATAAATTGCTGGGAAGTTCGCTGTGAACTCCCTGACCGAGTCGCGGAGGAAGTTCTCCGCCGGAGCCGACTCTGTGACCGCATTGTTGGCCACTGTGGGTTTCTTGTTTGTAAGCATGAAGACGGTGACCCCAATGGGCTTTATTGGGGGCGCAGGGAGGCAGGAAAAAGTCAACAGGACGGTCAGGACCCCTGGACGACTCCGAGACAGACACAATGGAGGCTTTTGACAGGCGAGGCCAGAGCCAGGCTGACTGTGAACTCCGCTTTGACAGTTACCGTTTGTGTCCAACGCATTCCTATCAACCGGGCATCACTCATTCAGCTCATAAAAAGGCACAAAGTGTCCGAGGAACAGAACGCTCGGGGAAAATAACGACACGGACTCCATCTGCCCAACTGTAAAAAGGGGGAGGCGGGGGAGGCTTCACATTCTCCAGAGAGATCTCATGCACAAACAATTAATGACAGGCTACAACTCAGCAGGGCTAAAACATGCTCCCCTAATATAGATAAGATTTGAAGCTGCAGCATGTAGCTTTTACAAAAAATGTGTTTCCATATTTGTTAAAACTGTCACTGTCAAAACAGTGTAATGTGAAACAAATCTGTCCAAAATATTCAAGCTCCTCCACCACCCCCCTGAGCTGCTATTGCGGTCTGAAGAAAAGGAGTATCCCCGTTCAGGAGGAGGGTCTTATTGCTGTCAATCAACCTCCTGTATGCTGCTCAATGTGCTAAAGGTGGAAAAACAACAGGAAAACTGTTTATCCACCTTTATCAGTGGCTATGCTAACTAGCCTTAGCATTGGTAGAGGGCTATATTGTGGTGAACCAGCTGTAGCGCAGCACAGAGCATGCAAGAGGGTACATGTACGAGTGTGATTGACAGCTCTAAGAACCTCCTTCTGGCTCTGATTGGTTGTTTCTGTATCTGGTGTATTTCTGCAAGAGGAGCTTGATTTGTTGAAATACCCACATCATTTTATGCAAGCATAATTTGTGGCAGGGAGAACATGGAGGCGAGTCATTTCCACATCCACAGCAACGCATGTGGAGCTGGCAACCAAACCACAGAGCAGTTCTGGAAGGTTGAAGAGTTGGTGTTTGATAGTTGCTTTTTTGTGTTCATTCAGATTTTCTTCACCTGATTTTGTCTCAAACCGAAGCACGAAAAACTGAAGGTCTTTTGTTCAGAGGGTGCGTAAATTTGTTAAACATCACAAGAAATAAAACTGAATTGAATAAAATATAAATCAGACTGGAGAAATTAGCTTATGGTCCCATTTTGTCTCTCTCTCTGGTTTCCCTCTCACACACAACAAGGAGACGTTCTCCTTAACAACCTCCATAACGGTCTTTTTTTTTTTTATAGGACCAGTTAAGAATAAAAACCATAAAGCTCCCAAAGACCAACCTGCTGCTTACCTTCCAGTCTGATAATAGAAGGTCATCAAAATTAGATTCCAACGGTGCTGAATTTGCTCATTTGCTTAGATAAAGAAAAGCTTCATTTGTCCGAGCAGCTCCTCGTTAGCCTCTGCTTTCCCTCTCAGCAGCCGCGTTAATGCTGAAGGATTGCTTGGTCACGTTGGCTTGGAGTCGTTCCGCAGATGGACCGATACTTCATGCGGTGTATGAGGCAGGCCTGTCACCCTGGCACCCGTTTCGATTTAAACAGTGGTTTCAGATTGCCGCCATTCATTAAAGCACCGAGCCAGGGAAGCGGGGAGGGTAATTACATGGACCTTTGCCTCTGGTTTCCCCGTGGTGCTTGGTTCACACAAAAGGCTTGTGCCGCTTCCCCTCGATACAGTCAATTCAGTAACGTGTCGAAGGAGCCCGGAAATGTCAGCAGGGGAGAATAGTTCGCCTCTGTGGCAGTTTTTCTGACCTAAAAATATACTTTGCTGAGCTTTTGTGGAAAAGGTAATAATTTAAAAAATTGTCTTCCAGCCAATGCCCAACTGAAACAGTCCCCGCTGTTTCTCACGCTGCTCCAGAGTTGGGGTGAACGACACAGACTTGAAGTTTCATCACAGAGCCACACAAAGCAGCTGCTTCCTCAGCAGTGGGTCATGTAGCTTCACTTCCCCATAAGAAGGTTCTCCTAATCTTTGAAAAGCCCGTGAAGCTAAGAATAAACTTTTTCTTTAAAGGATTGTGTGACACTTGTGGCCCTTTGACCGAAATCTGAGAACAGAGGAAAACACGTAGCAAACGTTTCCTGGACAGGAATTGAACCCGAGACGGCCGTTTCACAGACTAATCAGCACCGACGCTCCAACACCAACCCACATACTACTTCACAAGCTCACACTCCCTGGAACATTGAACCGATGGACAGCCTCTCTCAAACATGTCCACTAATGCTCAGGAGCATAATCGTCTCAAACCTTTTGAATCTTTGGACTAAATCTGACCGATCGATCGCTGTCCTCAGTTTGACAACAAAATGTGACTTCTGAAAACGTTACCTGCTGTCAAACTTCAGGCAACCAGAAGTTTGCATCATCTTTCTTTTGTTTCACAACAAAAGAACGTAGCAGGGAATTCAACTTCTGAAAATATTCAAACTAAACACACTCCTTCTACCGTTTGGTAGCGTTACATCCACTGCAGGTGAATCAGCATTTCAGGACAACA